GTAATATCTGAGAATATTGTCAACATGTTTTTTTAAGGTGTGTACTTCTATTTCCATTTATAAATTGTGTAAGCCTGCCTATTTTGGTACGCAAATCATCAATTCGGTTTTCTAGCCGTTTTTGCCAGCGAGGTTTATGGTCCTTTTTGTTGTGTCTACTATTATCTATAGGTTCTAATGATAATTTAGCACCGTTTATTTTAGCAGCAGTCCATGCCGCACAGTATATTGCTGTTTGTAGGGTTTCGAAATCAGTATTATTATCCACTATACTAGGTAAGGTCACTTTATTAAGATAATCTACAATTTTTGCAAACTTTTTAGATGGTTTTTGTTTTGGTATATAATTCCTAGTTGTGGGGTTAGAGTTAGTGAAGAATTTGAAAGCTTGTGAGAAAGTTGTGTCTATCTTTTCGTTTTTATCAGGATTTATTTCTATGGTAGTTTCAGTCTCATGCAAGAAAGCTGTCATTGTCGTTGTTGCTTAATGGTCTACTATAAAGATTATTAGTGTTATCAGTTTCATTGGTAAGTATGTTATTGTTAATTGCAAGTGAGCTCGGTGAGAGTTCATTAGCCACTTCTAGTTTTATTGTGTTAATTCTTTCTTCTGTGATATATTTATTGTTTATGATCGCTCTCCTCTGGTCTGATATCCTCTGCTCGCTCAAATGAGCAAGTTCAGGGAATGTTTGGATGAAATTTTGATACAATAGTTTTCGGTAACCAGTTTTGTTTGTTTTCTAGTTGGGTTATATGAAAATATGATCTAATTATTGCTTCATTATGTTTTGTGGTCCATTTCATTCTGGTATTAGTGTCTCTAGTTAGTGTGTTCGAATCTTGAGTTGAGCTAGCATTTGGTGTAGGTATTAAATGTGTTGTGTTTGCAGATTCTAAAAGATGTTGTTGTTGTGCCTGTCGAGGCCTAGTGCTATTTTCTAATCTTGCAAGTTCTTCTCTTACTTGGTTGTATATTAAATCTATTGTTGTTTGCGGTAATAATTTGTTTCTTATTATTGCACGGCGTTGATCTCCTATTCTTTGGCGGCTAGCGTTCATTTCAGGGTACTTTTCACTGAATTTTAAGTGTAGCGGTTCTAAATAAGTTCTGGTATCTGTATCAAGAGCAGTCAGTTGCAAATAGGTGCGCAATATGAATTGGTTCATCTCGTTATTCCATCGCTTGCGCGTGCATGGTAGGCCCGAAGTGGGTGCAGGTTCAGAATCAAAGTGAATCTCCTGCACAACACTCCCAAGCGAAGTAGTATTTGACGAAGCTCTTCTCCTGGTCATACAAGAGGGGCGAGTTGAAGGAATGGAAGAGAATAAAGAGTGTGTATCATCGCCCGATGTCGATTCGGCTGTAACCTCTACGTCGTGAGCCCGCCTGTTCAACCCCCGACGATCGGCTGTAACTGTTTGTGTGACGAGAGCCCGCCTGCTCAACTCCACGTCACCGGTGTCCCGCAAACTGAAGCACCCAGCACCGGCTCCAGGTGCGCCCCGGCGACCCCCGGGAAGCGGCCGCAAATTATATGTTCTCTTAGTTTTCTCCATTATGGGTAGTTGTTGGGATGATTAGTTCAGAGAGGGTAACCTAGGTGTTATTGGTTTTGTTTTAGTATCTCCCTAAATCGGGGTGCATCGTCAAGATGTGCTGACTTCATTATTGTATCTCCTCTCCTTAAGCCCCCCCACCACGACAAGGTCCATCCCCGGGGGGGTATTATTATTATTATTATTATTATTATTATTATTATTATTATTATTATTATTATTATTATTATTATTATTATTATTATTATTATTATTATTATTATTATTATTATTATTATTTATTATTATTATTATTATTATTATTATTATTATTATTATTATTATTATTATTATTATTATTATTATTATTATTATTATTATTATTATTATTATTATTATTATTATTATTATTATTATTATTATTATTATTATTATTATTATTATTATTATTATTATTATTATTATTATTATTGTTTTATGCTCCAAATGAAATTCAGAAGAAATATAACAAATGTTTTTCTAATATAGATTTAACAATGTGCATATAAAGTAATATAAGGATAGAAATAGTAAGGCTTGTAATTCGTAAATAATTTATTTTAAAAACTATTATTATTATTATTATTATTATTATTATTATTATTATTATTGTTATTATTATTATTATTATTGTTTTGTGCTCCAAATGAAATTGTAATTGGTGGAAGCTTTTTGGTTTGAGTACTTTTATATGTTTTATTTTGATTGATTTTTTTAATACTGTTTGTTTCCCAAAAAATAAAAAAAAAAAATAAAATAAAATAAATAAATGCACCGGCGCCATCTACTTAAAATATTGATTTGTAGTACATATTTTACAACGAATGAAAAACCGTGGAAATTGGTTCGTTCGTTCTGAAGTTATAGCGTCAGGATGGAAAACCGGACTTATTTTTATATAGTAGATCTCTTAAAAATATCTAATTGTCATCATAACGTCATTACATATCTGTCATTATACGTCAATTGCATAGCTGTCAATTGTGTTTCGTTATTCCACGTTTTATAGTGACTGACGTTTCATGTCAAGTCCCACGGGAATGCTGTCGAATGGGATAAAAAGTCCTCCTATTGCAATTTCCTGGCTCTAATCTACCTCCTTGCCAATTTTCAACTAAATCGGTTCAGCCGTTCTTGAGTTATAAGTGGAGTAACTAACACGACTTTCTTTTACATATATAGATATATAATAAATAGAACATAAATTTTAGAAAAGTCATAGCATTAAGTTTTTAATCAAATATGTCTAATATATCTTAGAAAAATATAAACTTTACTGTTAAAATGGGAACTATAAAAGTAATTCTACTTTTACTAGTATTCCTGCTTTGTATAAATGAACCAAGTAAACTGTGAGGTCAGGTCACTTGTATATCAGGTTATTTAACTTAAAGTGGTCGCTTGTAATGCTGTTTCAATCGGCTATATAAAAAAATTAGCTTTCAATTATTGTACTTAAAAAATATTAACACTGTTTTTATATTCTTTTTAAAGTTATTATTGACATCTTCTACTGGATTATCATGTGTAAAATGAAATTTAAAAACTAGTGAAATATTTTGAATCGTTTGAATTTACTGAAATTTAGATTAATATTTACAAAATATTTTCATCCTGGCACTATTTAAAAATCAAGATAACAGAAAATTACAACAGGTGACATATTATTGTATTGTTTAACATTAAGTAGTTAAAATTTCATCCCTTTGAAGTAATTTGATATTACGTAGATACCTAATAATGTTAATATAACATGAAAATAAAAATAAATGTTTCATAATCTATGAGAGTCCTCGATCAAAGTGTCCTTTCCAATTCTTTCGAGTAATGAATGATTCTCTTAATGTTGAAAGGGATATAGAAATTGATTATATGTTCGTGCTGCATTGCGGCGTTCTATAAAATCTTTGAATTATAATTTACTCGCATGAATATTCTAAGCTGTATGATCAAAAAAAACTCTATATGATTGACTTTTATTACGTTGGAATTGAATGCTATTATTAATTATTTAATGTTTTTAGATCAAACAGAGAAATAACTCCCAGTAATTTGTAAGACTTTGGGTCTAATCTTTGTGGGACACTTCACAATTAATTTCGTGGCTGCTTTTCCTTACCCTAATACCTATTTCATGGGACTAAAAAAAATGTTTTCCGAGTTAATTTCTAATATACTTATATTAGTTATTAAAATAACAGCGTTTAATAAATATATAATAATGTTATTATGTCTAGCAACGTATCAATTCTTTTGCTATAGAAGTACAGCTATGTCCTCTATTAAATTTTGGGTTGAAAGTCTAAAGACTTTGTTAATTGAAGGTGCCAGAAAAATTTCTTATTCTTTATTCAGTTGAATTTATGCAAAATTACTTTCGGAGACAACGATTATCTTTTCGACTTATATAGTAAACAAAAAGAAAGTACAGATATTTATAAAGTTTTCTTGACCAAGCCAAATTAATAAATGGTACTTCTACTATGGCTATATACTCTACTATATAAATTCTGAAGGCATCCGTAAGTGACATTTCTTTTCAATGTTAGCTTTAGTCTGCTTTATTTTCTATGGAAACATATTTTTGGTCAATAACAATACATTTCATCCTGTCTAGAAATTCTTATGCTAAAACTTCAGAGACAATGAGGTATTTCACTTATTTCTAAATGTTCTTCCTATAGCTCATTTTATTTTACAAGTACTTCGGTTTCTAATTGAAAGACATTTAATAAAGACTTTATTTATTCGAGTGGATCAGTGTGAACATTACCTTATTATTAGATAATATCTAAGGTACAAAATAAGGCTGTATCGTGAAACGTGAAGACGCTTACACTAAGGCAGTTCTTGCTTACCATATCGTGCACCAGAGGCTTCATTCTGTAACCGTTCTGTTTCAAGTCTAATAAATATTGTATATGATTGTAAGTAGTCATAGCTATTTTTTCAATGTTACAGAATAGAGCCTCTAGCTTTACAATAATTTACATACAATATATGAAGTTCCCACTTACTTATATGTTCTATTCTAGTAATTGGTCGAATTACTCAAGGTTAGAATAAAGCCTTCAATTTTTATTTTCAAATGCAAGCCGAATAGAAGGGGGATCCTATTATAATAATTTTGATATATATTGTATAATTGAACAATAATTGCTTGTTTTATTATTTTTATAAGAAACTATGTATGTACAAGAAACATAAAAACTTTTCCTTATCTCATTATATTTCATACAAATCTTATATATTTTTTCTCTTTTATAATTATAGTAATATAAATATCACGTACTTGTAATTGAAATTTAAAATTTCATAGAAAGCGTTGGATCAAGTTTCAAGTACCCTACAACTGGAGATTGCATATATATCAATTGTATGAGTGTTATTACTATCGTATTGCTAAATACGATTTACTAATATTAAACGATAACTGAATGCCTATTGGTCTTTTTGTCTGGGGCATAAGGTTCTAGTTTCACTGGTTCGGTTTTCAAAGCGCTGTAGTCAACTGGAAATGGCGGCTGCGGTAAGGGATCTGTAGGAGGAACGAGGACCCACTGTCCGGGACCATTAGGGTTCTTACCCATCAACCAATTAGTGAAGCAGTGGACATAGGTTCTGTAGTCGAGTATTAGGTAGTTATTCTGAAATCAAATAACACATATAACATATTTAAAACCCAAAATCCAAAATATTATCGCAATAATTCTTAAATTACTTCCCATACAATTTTTATATATAGCCAGGGGATATTGAAGAATTCATAAATTTCAGTTTATCATTGCTATTGAATATATTATAGACATTCTTTCTATATATCGTTATATAGAACTTACACTTGTCATTATGGCGTACGCTGTGTCAATGATTTCTTAAACTCTAGCGGCTGGCAAACCGATGACTGAACGGTAAAACGCGGCTAAAGCCGTTTTAGTTATGTCACCTGTACCTGATTGAAGAATAAAATAAAAATAAGTTATTAAAATATAAAGAATTGTTTTTAAAATTAAAAAATTCAGACATTGAAGTATTACCGTTTTGGAAAAAGACATAAAATAGATTATTTTAGATCCTTTTTTCGTCTAATTGTTGTACATATAACCTTGTTTACAAGGTATTATAAAATTCTACCTTCTCACGATTTTATTAAGCAAGTACTTATTTATATATCAAAGAATAATGTGATACTTTACTCAAGCACAATGTAGTCTTAAATATAATATTAATAAACAGTGTCAAGCAGTGCACGAACTTAAGTTTGAATTTTCACGTTTTGCACGCTTACGTACTTCTAAGGAGAGACTCTTAAAATAAATAAATTAAAGTATTTAACACTTAAAAAGCGACAGTGTAATTAAGAATGAAAAGGGTTACCAAAAATTAAATAAATCATTCATATTTGACTAATTTAACGGGATACCTTCTGGCTCATTCTTCTAAAGGGTAAAAAATTTGAAAAAAGCCTTTGAGAAATAAAGGAACCCGTTTCTTTAACTTAATTTAAATTCATGACTCAATTATGTATTTCTGGAATCTGAGAAAAGTGAAATTTTTTAAAGAGTTGGCATATTGTAACTTCAGAACTTTACTATTGTTTATTTAAATTATTTATTACGTCTTCTATGAATAAGTAATCTTAATTCCTCGTCGTTCCTCTAATTACTTAGAAATTCTAATACCGATATTGTAACTAAAATCAGTAAGTATGGTTCGCATTCGTAGTTAAAAATAAAATGTTGAACTTAAAACTAATTAGTAGGTCGTAATATTTACTTGGAAAAGAATCTTGCAAAGGTACTATAGATACAATGGTAGATCTACAAATCGCTTCATTTTACTCAATTGCAGCGCCCATCTTGCTAACCAGCCTTCTAAAGTAGTACGACGTGGAATGCCGTCGGCCTCGGGTCCACAAACTCTTCTATAATACCCCAGTTCAGCAAATCTATTAAAAGATAAAAATGAATTTGGTTTGAATAATGAATATTCACTTAGATTACATAGTTCGAGTGATGTTTCATTGGTTAGTGTTGGACATTTTTTTTTTTTATTTCAGATGGTTTTGAGCCTGCTTAGAAATATTTTCTAAGTGAAGCGTAATATTAAATAAGTCGACTTACATGGTGGAGAGTGAACTAATAAATTGTTCAATAAATTCTCTCTTGACTTCTAACAGTATGTGGAACTCTGATGAATTTGTCGACCAATCGGCAAAGTGAGCACGTTTCTGTAAATTTGCCTCTATGTTAATTTAATTATTAAAAAAAAAAATGCGATAAAGTTGTTACAGTTTTTTTGTTATTTTTGAAAATAGTTTTTTATTATTAATGTCTGATGAAAAGCTATCTTAAATAACTTCATTAATATGATTGACATAATAATAACCTCAAAAAAATTATCAAAATCCTGATCACATATGACATCGTCTCTGTCATGTTCAGGAGCTCGGTAAAGAAAAGTGTCATTTTGTCTGATTGAACAGAACTTAGCTAGGGCTGCTCATCTTCTAGATCTAAACATTCTAAATCTTCGCTGCACCGATTTACCCATGTTGCTGTTAAATAAAAAAAATATTGTATTATTATTTGAAAATAAATTAAATACAAAATCTTTAACCCTAGAGTGGGCGCGCTATGAGCATTTTGCCGCCCGCGCTAAAAAAACCGTTTTAATAAAATTAAAACAACTAGCCGTTTAGACTTGTGCTTCTTAGTAGCTGCTTCCAATCTCATTAGCAACGTTTACCTTAATCTGGACACCGTCAGTGCCCGGGGGACCGTCAGGAGAAGAAGGTATCTACTATCAGGTGTCGCCGGGCGGCAATCGCTCACCAACGCGCGCCCACTCACGTAAGTAATATTGTATAATGCATTTTTTTGCAAAACTCGAAATGTTGACTATATTTCTTGTGCATTAATAACTTTTGCAACTAAAAATATATTTGTTTTAGATTTCAAAGAATTAATTGATAATATTAATAAAAATGGATAAAATAGAAGATCAAGAGATTTGGTGGGATACCAAATCTTGAACACCAAGGTCGGGCGAAACCATCTTCAATGTTTGGATTTTGGCGACAGGTAAATTGTTACTATCTTATATTCCAAATAAAAGCAAAAGAAAACTAGTATTGCTTTTATCCAACTTGACCTGAAATGATAACATTTGCAAAACCTGAAATGATAACATTTTATATAGTAACTAAAGGTGGTGTTGACGTGGTTGACCAAATGAAGGAAGAATATTCTGTTGGGAGGATGACTCGCAGATGGCCAATGAGATTATTTTTTTTAAGGTTGAATTGCCGAGTATAAACAGTCAAATTTATATACAAAGCCAACAACAGCTCAAACATTTGAAGGCTACGTCGAGAATATTTGAAAACAATTTGCCATAGTACTTGTCCAAGCAATATATGACCTACAAGGACTTCTATAGGCACTTAAATATTTCTTTGAGGAACCACATTGCTCGCTTTGTCCCAGTAGAACAAGCATCTCTTCGAAAAAGGAGGTCAAATGCAGTATATGGTCCCTCAAAGAAAAACAGGCGCAACGAAAAAAGGGTGTTTCCAGATGCCCAAAAGTTACTGTGCAAAGAACGTTGTACATGTCTTTGTGAAGACTGGTTTGATAAGAGCGTATCCTGTAGATTTAGAAAAATATATAATATTGTTAATTTTTGTTTTTATTTTTTAAGTATTAAAAAGTATTATGTGTATCTTTAATAGAAAAAAAAGTCATTTACACATATTAAGTTATTTCTAAATCTTCTAAGGGGGGGGGGGGGGTAACCAAAGTTTTATAGTAACAAAGTTGAATAAATTTTTAATTTATTTAACTTACTGTTTCTTTTATTTAAATCCTAAAAGAAAATATTAAATTGCAGTATTACTAGTCAAATAGTCACGAAAATGAGGCGGCCAATGCTCCCCACGCGCCTACTGACGTTAACGCACGAGACGCGCCACTCTAAAGGAAATAAGAAGTAATCAAAAAAAAAAAAATACTAAAAAAAAAAAAAGAAAAACAAAAGGAATAAGAAGGAAACTCAAAATTAAAGCTAAAAAAAACTAAAAAAGAAGAAGCTAAAAAATAAACAAACTAAATAAAAAACCTAAGATAAAAGGGAATAAAGGAACTAACTAAAGAAAGGGGAAAAGAAAAAAAAGGAAAGGAAAAAAAAGCTAAAAAGGAAAAGAAAGAAAAAAAAAAAGGAAAAAAAAAGCGAAACTAGAGGAAAGAAGAAATAAAGCTTAAAAAGAGGTAAAAACAAATAGAGAAAAAATCAAGAAAAAAAAAAAAACGAATAGCCTAAAAAAGGCCAAAACTAAAGAAAAAGAATACTACAACATGAGGCAAAAAACTAAGAAAGATAAAAAACAGGTAGCAATAAAAACATGCTATAAAAGCAAAAAAAAAAGATAACAAAAATAAATATAAAAATGAAAAAAAAAAAAGCCACGCGCCTAGATGGATAAAAAAAAAAAACGGAAGAAGATAAATACGCAAATAAAAAAAAAATAACTACTAATAAACGAGACGACTAAAAGAAATAAAAATAAAAATAAAAAGACCTAAAATAAATAAAAAAAAAAAAAAGAAAAAAGAGAGTAAAAAGTACTAGACTCTAAAAATAAGAAGAGCTAGAATCTAACAGGTGAGAAAAATAAAAACGTAAAAACTATAAAAAAATAAGAAATATAAGAAAAATCTAGGAAAAAAAAAATAAAAAAAAAGGGGGAAATAGAAAACAAAAAAATACTAAAGACAGTCTATACTAAAGAAGCTAACTAAAGAGGGAAAAGAAAAAAAAAAAACGATTGATGAAGGAAAAATAAAAATAAAAAGCAGCTAAGTAAAAAAAAAAAAAAAATAAAACCTTTAAGAATAAATATCTATAAAACTAAAAAGGAAAAAACTATATAGAAAAAACTTAAAAAAAAGAGAAAAAAAGAAACCTAATTATCTAAATAATCTTAGAATGTGGTTAGTAAGAATAACTAAAAAAATATAACTAAAAGCTATGTAATACAAACTAAAAAACTAAATAAGGGAGAAATGACAACACTAAAAAATAGCCGTAGAAAAAAAACCTAAAAAAAAGGAAAAGGTTAAGAAAAAAAAAAAAAAAAAGAAATAAAAAATAATAAAAAAAAGGAGATAGACACACCAAAACGTTTTTTAAAACAAAAAAAAAGAAAACAGAAAAAAAGAAAAAAAATAAATAACTATACTAGTTAAAGAAACTATGAAATACTAAGAAAAAAAAAACAAGTCGTTAAAAGGATATAAAAACAGAAAAAATCTAACAGACAAACTAAAAACTTTTTTGTTAAAATAAAAGACAAAGCAAAACAAAAAACAAAAAACTTTCAAAAACACTGTTTAAGAAGAAAATAAAAAAAACCTAAATAAAACCTACTACCTAAAAGTATTAAAAGACTAAAAATCCTAAAGAAAAAAAAAATAGAGGGGACATCTCATAGGGTTTTAGTAAAAAATAACTCTTGTGAAGGAAGGGCTAAAAAATTTATGCGTGGCCGTACACGTATTTATCTGGAAAAAATGAGTTTTTTGTGACAGTTTTGTATTTATCCAGATAAAGTAGAAAAAAATATGCGTGGTCACGTATTTGGAACAGTTGCAGTGTCCAGATGAATCCGTTAGGACTACATATGTATCGAATGCTTAATAATATAGTTTTTTTAAAACTGTTATATTACCAGAATATCCGTTTCACTTTTCTGAATTACGATCATTTACGCTAGCTACTCTTGAGTAAAACATAAATATAATACCAGACTTTTGCTTTTGACTGCTAGAATATATTGTTATTTTTGGCCCTCAAACGTACTCTACAATGAATATTGAGCAACGGAAACGAAAATAACACTGCAAATGCTCGTACATAGTTAAAAGTAAATATATCACATGCCGGTTTTTGACCTCGATACATTTGTTTAGAATTCTACTTATAGCTGTCACCTTTAAAGAACAATTATATAAAAGTATTATTCTAACGATTATTACTAACAATAATTTTTCATAAAATGTATTCCAAGCATCAAAGTGGACGTCAAGAACGCAAGTATTTTAACTAAATATCGAGGGTGTAGCTCAGCAATGCGTAACATTTTGTTTTGAGGTCAAAACTGTCAAATTTGAAACAAGTATTTTAAGAAGTTTAAGAAGGTTTAAGGAACGAAATTATGTAAATATCACTTAAACTGTTTAGCCTAAACCATGACAACATGACAAGCATATTGGTACTTTTCCTTTTAAAACCCAAGACTAACTTATTTTAAGATTTAATAAGAAGACTCCTCTGAATTTTGCAGAAATGTGAAACAATCGACTTACATATTTTATTAAATTTGGCAATTCATAGAATAAATTATTATATTTATGCTTATATACCAGTTATTATTAAAAACTAAGTCCGTGTCTTAATTGACGGAGCTCGTTCCATAAACTATAATACAATAAAATTATAATATAATAAAATTATAAAATATCAAGCATCTACATATTATTATCCAGAAAGTAATTCATGAATGAAAACAAGTTTAAAAGTACATACATTTTTATATCAATAATAATTTACCTTCATATAAGAATGTTCAAGTTTTATGTGTTCTCTAATTTAAGTTATAAATAAATAAATAATTAAATAATAAGTTAATGACTTTATCAACCTACATATATATGTATAACATCGCTTACTACAATTAGGAGTTATATTGAAGTTATTGATTGACATATAGTAGTGACGTTCCTATCAGCAGTTCATGGCATACATGATTTATTGGTATCGATTGGATAGTGTTCGCTTTTTGTTACCGAGTGAGGTAGAACAGCTTTGAGCTTTATACTGGCCTTTGGTTATATGTGTTAGTTTTTGATTTTGTCTGTGGAATGTGAGGGTATTGGGCAACCATAAGCTCTTCAGTGGAAGGAAAAGTCTGTAAAATAACAATGAAAAAACTGTAACAGACATAAAACAATTGCAGTACAATTTATTACAATACAATTTCTGTAATATAATTGCAATTAAGAAGGTTTTTGATAAATACTTTTTATTGGTTTTTCTATGCAATTAAAAATTTTCTTTTTATTTTTAAAATTGATTCTATCGCATCTTCGTCGATATCTATATGAGACCTATTTAAAAGATTTTACATTCCCTCTATGATCATCATTAATTACTCACAGAATATTAAAATAAAGTCTTGCAAAACT